CTTCCCAGAGACTAAGGAGAGGGAGGGAGAGTTCAGAAGGGTGGTGGAGATGCTGCGCTGGCATCGGGGTGGACGAATTTGGGTGTGCCTGGGTGTGGGTGCGATCGAGGAAATGGAGTCCTCTGCGCGTCGCCGTGCTTCCCAGAGACGGAGGAGAGGGAGGGAGAGTTCAGGAGGGTGGTGGAGATGCTGCGCTGGCATCGGGGTGGATGAATTTGGGTGTGCCTAGGTGTGGGTGCGATCGGGGAAATGGAGTGAGAGAACGAGAGTTCGAGAGAGAGATAAAGTTGAGAACTGAGAGAGAGTGAGGGTTCCGAGAGAGACTCGGGAAAAGAGAGAGAGAAATAGGGTGAGGGTTAGTGGGCTGCCACGTGGCAGCGTGACGGAGAGTGAGAATCAAGATGGAGGGTCTATATTAGATTAGATTAGGATAAATGACTCAATTGCACAATTTATATAATTTCAGGGAAAGAGTGAAAATATAAATTAATCTGGGGGTCCAGATTAGATTAGGATAAAGGACTCAATTTCAAGGAAAGAGTGAAAATATATAATTTCAGGGAAAGCGTGAAAATATTTGAACCTCAAAGAGTGAAAAATTTGCCAGCTCGCTATATAATCAACTTAAATCAGTTAAATCCATCATGCAATGCATTTCCTTCCAATTTTTTGTGATAAACTAATAGATAATTGACTAAATAAACATTCTGCAAAGTTTCAATAAAAATTTCCAAGTTTTTCTTACAATTTCCATGGTTTCCATATTATTTTTATCGATATCGATAATATCCCGATATTTCCATCGATATTTCCTTGTTTTTGGACTACCGATACTTCCGATATCATCGATATTTAATACCTTGATACACACCACACCAATGAGTGCTTCATTGGCTTCGTTTTTTTTTTTTGTGCTTCAAGAGCCACATTAAGGTGCAAATTAAACACAACTTATTTTTTCACAAACTAGGCCCTTTAGGTCCATTTTCTTTCAGAAGGATCTAATAAGCTAGCGTTGAATTGTAAACCTTCTTCATGTAATTAAAATTGGAAAATCATTTTTGCACGCTTGTTTTCTCCATACTCCTTAATTTATTTCTAAACTTTCTATCACTTGATGTCCTTTGATTTATCCAATCCAATGATTAGGACCAAAAAAATGAGAGAGTAGCGCATGGGGAGAAAAATAAAGTGCATAAATAATTTCCCTTAAAAGTAACCTAAATTACGAACTTACCCACCTTTTTCAATCCAAAAAACAGGATCTCAACCAAATTTTCTTGACACCAATGGCTAGACCAAGCAAGTAGAAGAAGAGTGTAAAAATTCTTAAATTATCATCTATTTTGTAAATGAAATAGGCCCAGAAACAAGTGAACACAAACTTGAAATTGAGATAAACATGCTTGGAATAACCAATTAGTCAAAACCTCCTGCATATTTTTCTGACTACATTTCATGCACTATCTGTTGGAAAAATAAGGTCTAATTGCTATATTACATCACATAAAAATTTAAGAAATAATTCATGCAATTATATATCAAAATTAATGTATGCACATGAGTAACCAATGCTAAATGAACATGACATAATGGATTAGAAAAACCTAAAAATACGGTCAAGGCAAGAGTTGGACACCATGTCCTTAAGACAAGTTTACGCCCCACTACGGTGCTCATGGTTGATCGGCGCATGTCTTCCAAGATACAACGACTACGTCCTTGTAATAGTAGCACTCCAAATCACAAGGCTTCATGAACCACAATTGTGTTGAAAACTCTCTCATATGAACTCAATGAGATTCTCTAATATTTAGTACACTCTATGTATGATTATGTAAAACAATGAAAAATTATTTTGTGATTATAGGGGGCTTCCCTATTTATAGAATGTAAGATACATCTTTGGAAAACATGTGACTATTCATGAAGAGTCAAGAGTTTCAACTCTTCATTTGAGTAGACACATCTTTCTACCAAAAGGCTCCACTTCTAATTTCCATTCAATTAAATATTATTATTAAATTTTCCAACAATCCCCCACATGAATGGAAATTGACTCAATACCATGCAAATGACAATGCAGACACTAAAGAGAGAATTCAGTAGAAAAAGTATTGCATCGGGATAGGTGGCTTTTGGCTTTGAACATTCCGTAGTGAATTACTATCGGATTTACTTGGCTAATCAGTGAACGCGATGTCTTGAACTGCTCAGTCGTTTGTGTAAACGAAGACAATAGTAATCACACAATACCCTTCCAAACACCCTATGGTTGCTCGGTTGTGTTCATTTTGACCCTGAACAATTCTTGGTTTCTCATGAGTGCTTTTAGAGAATTAAGCCCTTCAAAAAATTCTCATAAGAACGGCCTCATTTCTCACTCAAGATAGGTGACTTCCAATTAAGAGTATCCTGCAATACCCCACTTGTTATTTCCAACTTCCAAGTATAAGAATCATTAAAAGCAAAGCATATCCTAAATACGTTGCAGATAACATTGTTTCATCATAGGACATGTGTAGGAGATTATCTCCGCAGTGCTCCCATTGAATCATCCACGATTCGGTTGTCCCTTTGAACCTAGATCTTGGGATCTCCAGTCAGCTAGGTTGAGTTGCCATTATGGCGATTCTTAAGATGTAGGCTTTTAACCCATTCCCCTCGATGATACAACTTACTCTCTAGTCAAACCTTTAATTAATTAGATCCACTAGGTTGATAACTATCAGTTAAAGTGCGCACTTCCATTTATGAAATTATATTTCATTCGAGAGTAGTTGTTTTCCAATGCTAAGTCCTTCAAAACATATGTTAGGACTTAAAAAGTAATTTGCTAACACTCGGTACATTCCCTCACATTTAAGGTATTTTTTTTTTATTCTGAAAGGTCTCTAACCTTTAAATACCTTAAATGAAAGAATATCACTTTTCTTGAAGCAAATTACTTTTCCATTATACTTAAGTTGATGTATAATCCAAAGATAACTATGTCACTCCCCCACAATTCACTTTTATTGTGGTTACTTTTTAATGCTATCAATTACTCACTCATCAAACTTAAGAAGTAGGAACCAATGAAGATATTTTCTCTTTATCTATTCTTCACTTCTAGGCTTTCAATCCTCACAAGTCCTTTATATGAGAAGCACTCCTTTCACATTCAACTACGTATTCAAACCTTTTGTTTCTTGAAATTAAACAAGAACCATAGTCAGAAATTTATCACAACGTGATACTCGATTTGGATACTTCACTTCTTAAAATGAGAACCAAAGGTCGCTGAATCAACCGTATATATTAATTACAGAACTTGGCAGGGGTGCTTTCTTTTGGAAGAGACAATCTTGTTCAATTTGAACAGATTCAACCCTATCTTTATCGCATCAGTTCAGCAACCCATATATATATATATATACACGTCTGTTCAAATCCGCAGACCTTTCTCTTCACACCAGATGCCCCTTTAGTTAGAGAAGCTACTACAATTGAAATAATCATTTCAACAAAACACACATGTAACACAATTTCAAAGAAATAAGTATCAGATCAAAATAGGTCAACGCAATCAAAAGCCATTCTCATGCATGCAACCCTACCAAGAAGCATTAAGCTTCATTTGCACAAGAAAACCCACATATAAATTGATATATAGTAGAAAATCATGTTCAGTTAGATAAACTCATAGCAACGTAAGACAACATACATGCATACAGTAAGCAAAACTCAGAAAACCAAACATACACAAATGAAACATATTAGAATCCAAACTCCCACTCAAAATCCCAAGCGGCATCATCGCGGTGATGGAATGGTTACCCTTTGGAAAAGGGTCAAATGATCCATTTCCTTATAGTTTGGAAGGGTCATGTTTGTCGGTGGAGGCTCTCCAGAGAACCCTTTCATGAAGTTAGATATAGTGAATTTCTTTTCCAGACAAAAAATCAACCCATCAATTATAGGGATTCATTCCAACACATTCTTATATAATTCACAATATACAAAGTATATTGTTTGGAAGGGTCATGTATATAATTCACAATCCATTTCCTTATAGTTTGGAAGGGTCATGTATGTAATCGTTTCCCAATTGGCATGTCAACCACTTGGAAATCTGTCAATTAATTTGTCAAACACTCGATCGACAATCATTTGAAAGCCGTGAATTCATGAAGTCGTAACTATATTATATATAAGGTTAGTCGTAAACAAAACACTCCCAAAGCATTACTTACTTTACAAACTGAACTTAATGCATGGCAAAGAAGTAACCAACTAGACAAGAATACAAACAAACAGTTTTGCAAGAAACCAAGACTACATACCAGACAATTCTACCACAAAAATAATCTGTAGGACAAAAACATGATAGAATAAAATCTGAAGGAAAGATCATGCCATTAGGATCAACTTTTACTTTGTCACGGAAGCATATTACTCTCAAAACAAAAATAGCAATCAAACCAATATGTCTTAAGATTGTTGGAAAAATAAGGTCTAATTGCTATATTAAATCACATAAAAATTTAAGAAATAATTCATGCAATTATATATCAAAATTAATGCATGCACATAAGTAACTAATGCTAAATGAACATGACATAATGGATTAGAAAAACCTAGAAAATATGGTCGAGGCGAGTGTTGGACATTTTGTCCTTAAGACAAGTTTACGCCCCACACGGTGCTCATGGTTGATCGGCGCATGTCTCCCAAGATACAAAAACCACGTCCTTGTAATAGTAGCACTCCAAATCACAAGGTTTCATGAACCACAATTGTGTTGAAAATTCTCTCATATGGACTCAATGAGACTCTCTAATATTTAGTACGCTCTATGTATGATTATGTAAAACAATGAAAAATTATTTTGTGATTATACGGGACTTCCCTATTTATAGAATGTGAGATACCTCTTTGGAAAACATGTGACTATTCATAAAGAGTCAAAAGTCGCAACTCTTCATTTGAGTAGACACATCTTTCTACCAAAAGGCTCAACTTCTAATTTCCATTCAATTAAATATTATTATTAAATTTTCCAACACTACCCACATATAAATGTATGGCTACAACTCAGTCTCACATCCAACGCCCCAAAACCCTAGAGATCGAAGATGCTCATCTCATCAGGGCGGGCAAGAAGGGTTTTACAAGTCAAAACACAGAGTTCGCTATGGGAAATCATATGATGGGACCGACTTTATTAATGATAAAGGAAAGTAACAAGTCAGGGATTATGAGTTAAACCAAGGCAATGCTGCTCTCTCCACCGGGGGGCTTGCGAACACCACCCAGATAGTCTCTGGATGATGCCTTTCCATCAGCAAAGATGTTGCTGCCATTCATCTCTCTCAGCTTAGCCGTGCTGAGGGGCTTTTCAGTAGACCCTGGAGCAACATCACCTTTAAATATATCATTCCCTGTCAGCTCTGCAAACTTCTGGTTATGTATTTTCCTAGAAGTCTTGGAAACAGGTTCCTCACTGAACATAATATTACTCTGACCTCCAGCAGGCTGTGTGACAAAAAGTAAATTTCAATACAACAATTCAAGAAATGTTACTTCGCAAGATAGTCTAGGATTATTCGGCAGAGTAATACATACCTGGATTACAGGAAAGTGTTCACCCCCGGGCTATCTTTCTAGGCTATCAATTTTGAACCTTTGATCCAATTAATTCTTGTTGGAAAGAATGGTCCAAACTAACAGTCTCACAACCTAACATACCAGACGACTATTTGACAACAAACCCTAAACAGGAGAACCCTCAATTGCACACTTAAAACCAAAATTATGGAAGTCCAAGTTATCTAGCGTTATATTTCCTAATTGATTAATTATCATAACTAAAGCTGAGAAGATATGAATGAAAACATTCATTCACAAAAACAAAATGAATCAGTGAACTCACATTTGAAACTTTGACAGAGGTGCGTAGATTTCGGGGTGCAGGCTCCCCAATGTCTCTGGTTTCTCTAGTTTGCAGGGTGTGAGCAGCAGCCAATGATCGAGGCACGACTTCAGGAGGAGGGCCAAAGATGTCATTTCCAGTGAGCTCCTTTGACTTGGCATTTGATCCGCTCTTCTTGGATTTTAAATCGGAGTTGGACTGCAATGTCCCACTCAATTCACGCTGCTTGGCAACCTCAGGAACAGTGACAGGCTTCTTAGGCGTGACATGTTCATCAACACTGAATGAGATTTGGCTGACTCCATTGAGTGCTTGCTGATAAATACGAAGCCCCGTTTTGTTACTAGCATTATTAGATTCTGGTGCAGCATCCTTGCCTGACCCCGCTGCAAATATGCCATTTCCAGTAATCTCCTTCAGTTTATAGCCTGAACAAGGCTTCCTGTACCACATTTCATCTGGGTTTTTGATTTTCAATATTGACCATTAACCATATACTTTAAAGTAGTGATTTTGTTTACCCAAAAAAAAAAGTACTGATTTCTTGCTGGATCTAAGATGGGCAAATTTCAAAAAAAGAGAAGGAAAAAAATTGAGTTTCATTGCATGCATTTGTAGACATATGTGGGTTAGGCTAGTCGGGCAAGGCAGTGTTACCGCCCCGGATATTAGAGTAGTTTAGAATATTGTCTTATCAGAAAACATAAATAGTCTTCTGATCAGATGAATACAAAACATAAATAGGATCACATGAATATAAAACAATCAAAGTTAATAGTCTTCTGATCAGAAAACAGAAAATTTTGTAGCTTTCATTCAGCAGTTTGAGCAGGTTAATGGGTAATTAGCAGAAAATTAGATTAATGAAGCATGCACTACTAAATTAATAGCTAGATCTGAGTTGAGAGGAGATCTCACTGTTTGTTGAGGCTCTGAGCTTCTTCATCAGTGATCTGACCGCCATGGAGCACCTTGCTGATTCCATCCGACGGCTGAAAATGCACCTCTTGAGCTTGATTAGCTTTCTTAATTCACCATCACCAAGAAAGAAAGCAAGAAGAAATTTACATTGACTACTGAGTAATGTTGAAGTGGAAAGTAAAGGAACCTGATGAGAGCGGTGGGCGGAGGAGGCGGTGGGCGGAGAGTCGGAGTGTGGGACCTCTTTCCACGTCAGCATATCGGCAGTGTCTCTGCGAGGCTTTCTCAGTGGTGTTCTCTCCATTGTTTTCGGTCTCACTCTCTCCCGCTGGTCTGAGTCTCTCTTCGTCCTTTGGCTATGGGGTTTTGAGATAATTTTGAATTTTGAATGAATAGAAAATAGTATTCATAAATAAATAAAGCAAAAGTAATAAAATCCCAAAACATTTTGTCATCTTCGAAACAGGAGAAGAGAAAGGTCTTGGAGCATCATCATATTAAAGTTCATATGGAGTTCGACTTTGAGACGGTAGATGATTAAATGTTTTTCTTTAGATAAAAGGACAAGTGTCTTTAATTGGTACAGGGAATTACGTGGGTGAGTCTGTCTCTCAAGATGATAAAATTCAACACAAAGATTTCGTGTGGGGTTTAGGGATGGGTATTTAGAACCGAAACACGAATCGAATCGAACTGCATCGAACGGTTTGGTTTCGCGGTTTTGAAACGGTTTCGGTTTCAAAACCGAACCGCGGCAAAGAAAATGGTTTGGTTTCGGTTTTGGGTTTTCAAAACCGCACTGAAATCGAAACCGCACCACATAATAAATAAATGTTATATTTTAAACTTTTAATTAGTTTCAAGCATGGTCTAAAATATCCATAATATCCTGATATTTCCATCGAAATTTCTGTATTTTTGGACTACCGATATTTCCGATATCATCGATATTTTAGACCTTGCTAAGTCACTCATGTATCTTACCATGCAATGTATAAAGTGTAAAATATTGTACTAATTCATTATATATAAATGATTATGGTGCGTTTAAACTTCTTTCATTAATTACTACATATTTTCTACACTCACAATGTTTGCCAGCTCGCTATATAATCAACTTAAATCAGTTAAATTCATCATGCAATGCATTTCCTTCTAATTTTTTGTGATAAACTAATAGATAATTGACTAAATAAACATCCTGCAAAGTTTTAAAAAAAAATTCCAAGTTTTTCTTACAATTTCCATGGTTTTTATTCAATTTTTATCGATATCGATAATATCCCAATATTTCCATCGAAATTTCAGTGTTTATAGACTACCGATATTTTCGATATCATCGATATTTAATACCTTGTTTCAAGTTCAACTAGGTTATAGATTTGGTTTTGCGGTTTTGGGTTTGCACTTCTCTTCGACTCCCGACTGCTTCTGCGCCTTGCATCTCTGCCTTTGCCTCTGCAATCTGCATCTCTGCCTTTGCCTTTGCGACTGCGACTGCCTGCTTGCATCTCTGCCTCTGTGACTGTGACCTCACTGAGTCACTGCTTGCCTTGCATCCCCAGATCCCCTTCATCTGCAAGCCCTAATCTCTGCAAATCAAAAGCTCTGCAAAACAGACTTGGCAAATCATTCACATGCTCTTCGTTCCAGCTAATATGGTAAAAACTTAGAACTTGTATTACTTAGAACTAGTATCATTCATCAATTTAATCTGTTTTTATGTTGATCTATATATATAGCTAGTTTTGAGATATTAGATTAAGCAACTGTTTAGCTGAGGGCGTTGTATTTAGTATTACATTTGCATAATCTCCTTATGGTTTACATATTATTTTTCATTTTGTTTCAATCTATTTTATCAGTTTTGGACCTTTCAATTTGTTTTCAGGTGATTCCTCTCTCATGGATTATTTTTTGTGGATTTTCATATGCAAATTATGCTAAAATTATGATGTAATGTTCTTTAGATCTCTGTTAATGTTTTCGTTTGCAAACACGGTCGGTTCTCGGTTGCGAAAGACAATATTTCTTTTTGTGTTTTAGAATGAAATAGAATACGCTTTGTGTCAATTTTATGATCTGAGTTACTTGTCGAACTAGGTTATTTCGGGTTTGATGTGTTTGAATTTGTTCTGGGAGCATTCGAGTAGTTAGAAACTGAAACCCCTAAGTTAATGAGAAACCATGTAGTCCTTTTATTTGGTTTGTCATGGATGTGTTCTTTGTCTTCTGCAAACATCTTATTGTTTCTGGTTATGTTTTTATTTGCTCAAGCTTGCTTGATTTGGCTGCTTATAGAACATCTAAGGGAGCACTTAGTTTTTTATCGAGCAGAGGAATGGTTTTCTTCATAGTCTCATTAACCAAGTTTACCTATATAGTTAAATGTGGTGTTTGACTAAGAACGAAAAACAAATTTTGGAATTGAAATGGTGTTGGACCTTTTGCTTGAAGACAGCCTGATGCCTCAGCAGAAGAGTATGGTGTTAATTAAAAGTTTTAAACTTGGATTGAAGTTGGTCGGATTTGATTAATGAAACATGCAGTTCTGGAGCTTATAGCAGCTCAGCTAGCTGTTTTCTGTTTTGTTTTTGCTGAAATAGTTGATTTTGTTTGGAATTTTTGTTTTGAGCAATTCTATGTTGGGTTCTACCTCTGGGGTTATGTGATATTGTGATTGTTACAAGGAAAATAAGACCGTCTTATGCATAAATATGTGTATATTTTAAATTGTACATTTTTTTCTCAAAAACCAAACCGAAACCATTTGAAACCACACTGAACCGAACCAAACGGTTTGGTTTCATTTCGGTTTTGGCTTCAAAACCGCACCGCAAAAAGTTTCGGTTTCGGTTTCGGTTATGGTTTCACTCGAAACCGCACCGAACCACACTACGCCCACCCCTAGTGGGGTTGGTTTGGAATTGTAGTGCTTCTAAACAAATAATTTATTAAAAAATTTGGAATATCGAATTTGTTTAGTAAAAAAAAATATTTTCTTAGAAAAACTATTGTTAATAACAGTAGAAAAACATAGAAAAGTATACCCCATATATATTACAAAATGAAAATCATTGTCCTACATTATTCTCTTTGACAATTAGTATATCACATAAAATATCATATACTTTTTTAGTCATTTAACATGTTTACAACAATTTATTTAAAAGCTTACCAAAGACTCAGATATTTTTTTTTTTGTTAAAAACACTTTTACAAAAAAAATTAAAAAATTTACAAAATATTCAACAACTTTATTTTAGTTTCTTTTTCTCACAGCACAGTTTCCAAAGCAAAACAATACCAAACTAACCCTTAGTTTGTCAAACTGTTCTAACTATTTTTGTCGAATATACTAACTTGTGCATTAGATACTACTCTCTAAGACCATCTCCAATCCGTTACTTAGTATTACGGTCTAGTGATATTCCTCTTGTAAGTGAGAGGTCTTCAGTTCGGTTCTCACCAAAAACAAAGTTGAACCACATTATTATGACAAGCCTATTGTAAAACTTGACCTACTCCCCATCCCATTAGTGTACATACTATCTTTCGCTAAGAAAAAAGAAGACTCCTTCCAACCCTTGGTTAAAACCTAATATTTTTAATCCAAATATATTAGGTTTTAACCTAAAATTGTTTTTTTTTTCTTTTTTTTTTTGGCTCCAATAGTTCTAGGTTAAAATATTAACATGAATTATTAAAAAATGAATTTAGGCTAAATTTTTTTTCAGTAACTTTTTTTTCAAAATAAAATTTATGTAGATTATTAGAATTTATTTGTTATTTTCACATAAAATATTTAGATTCCGAGAAAAGTTGAAAATTCACTAAACCGACCCATGAAACATATATTTATAGAGTTTTTGGATGAATTTTGATTTAAATATTTTTTTTATAATTGTTTTAGCCGTTGGATCCAATTCGGTCGTTTCAGATTTTTTTTTACCATTAGATTGCTCATATTTGATCGCAGTCGTTGGATTTAATGTATTTAAAATTTTAAAATGGCCTAAATTTTAGGTTTTAACCCAAAACTTATTTTAAACCCAACCATTGGAAAATGATTTGAATAGTTTAAAACCTAAATTTGGCGGGCCAACCTTTTAACCTGGCCTAAATTCTTGATTAAATTTGCCCAAATTTTAGGTTTTAACCAAAAACTCATGTTAGGTCTAACCATTGGAGAAAGATTGGATTAGTTTAAAACCTACATTTTAGGTTTTAACCCAACGGTTAGAGATGGTCTAAATACTCATGTTTGGTGTAGTATTGAATTAAAGACCATATTATCTACCCACCTTAAAAAAAATTTCGTCCCTGAAATTTTAAATAAGTAGCTAGCCAAAGATGGGATTCAATGGCTAGTTGTATTCGAAAAGTAGCATATGAGGTATTAGGAAAGTCCAAGGGCTTTGCTCCACATCAAAAGGAATCTTGTTGGTGGAACGAGGAGGTACAAACAAAGGTGAAGGCTAAGAAGGAATATTGTAAAGCCTTATACAAGGATATGACCGATGAAAATGGTGAAAGTTATAGAATAGCGAAGCAGGAGGCGAAAAAAGCTGTGAGAGAAGCTAAGCTAGCGGCTTATGACGATATGTATAAGCGACTAGATACCAAAGAAGGAGAATTGGATATCTATAAACTAGCTAGAGCAAGGGAAAAGAAGACAAGGGACCTAAACCAAGTGAGGTGCATTAAGGATGAGGATGGAAAAGCTCTTGCTACAAAGAACACGGTCAAAGACAGATGGAGAAGTTATTTTCATAATCTTTTCAATAAAGGACATGAAAGGAGTACTTTTTTTGGGGAGTTGAGTAACTCAAAAGAGTGTAGAAACTACTCATTTTACCGCTGAATCAGGAAGGAAGAAGTGGTTGTAGCTTTGAAAAAGATGAAACATAGAAAAGCAGTGGACCCAGATGATATACTAATCAAAATGTGGAAAGTCTTGGGAGAGACGGGTATAACATGGCCCACATACTTTTTCAATAGGATTTTGAAAATGAAGAAGATGCCAATTGAGTGGCGAAAGAGCACTTTGGTGCCCATATACAAGAATAAGGGCGACGTACAAAATTGCATGAACTATATGGGTATTAAGCTAATGAGTCATACAATGAAGCTCTGGGAGAGAGTCATTATGCATAAATTGAGGCAAGAGACACGGGTTTTGGACAACCAATTCGACCTCATGCCAGAGCGCTCAACCATGGAGGCAATCTATCTCTTACGAAGATTGATGGAAAGATATAGAGATAGGAAAAAGGATTTACATATGGTTTTTATAGATTTGAAAAAAGCATACGATAGGGTCTCAAGAGACATTCTTTAGAGGATTTTAGAAAAGAAATGAGTACGAGCAACATATATCCAAGCTATAAAGGATATGTATGATA